TATTTTAAAATTCTGCAAATTGTATTTGTCAGATAAATGTGGAGGCTCCAGCATTGCCTTGAGGAGCACAGGCCACTGGCTGCACAGAGGTGGGAGATCACAGTCCAGCTCCCCCCACACCCCGGAGATAGACTCAGCAACCAACCCTGACACAGCACAAGGACCCAGCCTGCCCCAAAAATACCCTATGATGCTGCTCCTCTGTGCCAGAAGCACCATGGATGGGCAGGCAGGCTCAGCAAGGCAGGATCCAAGTTTTTGAGGAGCACAGGCCACTGGCTGCACAGAGGTGGGAGATCACAGTCCAGCTCCCCCCACACCCCGGAGATAGACTCAGCAACCAACCCTGACACAGCACAAGGACCCAGCCTGCCCCAAAAATACCCTATGATGCTGCTCCTCTGTGCCAGAAGCACCATGGATGGGCAGGCAGGCTCAGCAAGGCAGGATCCAAGTTTAGAGGGACTTAGTGGGGGGGGGGGGAGGCGGTGGGGATTTGGGGGGGGGGGGGAGAGATCTGGATGCACCCTGGGACTAGCTGGAGGGTTCTGGATATAGCAGTAGTGGGACTCTGCAGAGAGGTCCAGGTGAAGATGGTTGGGGGGCAGTGGGCAGTCTCAGTGTGGGGTAAAGTTAGAACTCAGGGCGGGGGAAGGCATCTGGGTTAAGTGGGGGTCCAGATACTGCTAGTTGGGGCTAAGTATGGTGGGAATCTGGGTGCGGGTTGCTCATGGGGTAGTCCAGGCAGAGAAGGAGTAGGGTTCACAGGGGGAGGCTCTGGGTGCAAAGGGTGAGGCTTGGCAATAGGGTCTGGGTATGAAGGGGTCTGGATGCTCAGGAATTGGGTGAATGGGAGACCATCGCCCTGTATAGTGATCCCTCCCTCTGTACCAGAGAAGCAATGGGTCCAGGAAGCGCAGGGAGAGGGAAGGAAGGACTTTACAGAACTTCCTAGATCCGGGGTTGAAATTTAGGGGTGGTTCTGACATGGCCCCAGATGCTGTGGAAGGAAAGAAGTTGTCCTCTCCTTCCCAACTCAGCACCAGGATTAGCACCTGAGCCTGAATTAGGATCAGAGCTAGTAAGCCAAGTCTTCTTCAGTCCCAACCCATGCCCCACAGTGATTTACACCTGTTTTCTGGCTGCCCTGGGTGCCTGAAACATACTGCTGGGGAGGGGAGGGTCACATGGCTTCCTTTTGCTTTCCCATCAGAAAGTTTTGGGATTTTTTCTGCAGGGAAGCAAGAAATCTGTGGGGTGCATAAATTCTGTGCGCACACAGTGGCACACAATTCCTCCATCATGTGTCTGACGGAATCACAATCAACAGCTCAGGCTATCAACTATAGATTACTTAGCAGTACACTGAAATTCATTTAGATACTAATTCTCAGAATCCATAACTCCTGCACATACCTCCATTCGACTCACCTTAGTACCTATCATTCTTTATCAGTTAGAAGCCTTCTTCCTTAGCATGCGTTAGGCTTGGGATTGACCTCTCTCTCTTGGAGCACCATATGCTCTTCTCTACATTTCTCAAGCCTGTCTTTTACAGGAAGGCCTTTTACAGGAAGGCACCATAGGAAAAATATCTGGCTTTGAAATTGCACCTATCTCTGTGCTTGTTTTGGACTGTAAGCTCTTTGGAGCATGAATGCATTCTCTAGCTTTGTAGATTACAGAGATCACTGATAATAATCCTTCGAACTCCTGCTCCTTTCAGAAAACAACAAGAGGAAGACTCCTGACTAATGGTACAACGATACTTGCAAAAACTAACTTTGATAGTCATTCCATGTTTTATTTAGGGCATGAAACACTCTGAAAAGAAAAAAATGCATGTTTTTGCTAACAGAAAAAAAGCCATGTTTCCTGAAAAAAATAGTAATGCAAAATTATTAAAACTGGATGCAATTAGGTCCTTTATGAAGAATTGTTTTTTAAAACTAAAAAAGAATAATTTGTAAATTACAATAAAATATCTACAGGAGGTCTTAGACTGCCCTATCCTGAAGTTAGGTTCTTGCATGGGTTCAAAGCACTGACTGAGGACAATAAGGGACAGCCCACATGAATCTGACAGAAGTATCAGTGCCCTACAATCACTTACAAGACTTCTGGGAACTAGCCACTAACAACTTGTTAGGACTGACAAAATTACCTGGCCCTTGAACTACAATTATACTATCTGCGGGTGTCTGTTATGCTACCCAAAATGCTCCAAAGTTACATTTGTATTAGAAAGTGCTTTTTTATACTATTCATATTTAAAATACAACCACAGAATTTTTTTATATTTTCTTAGTTAAATATTGGCTGGGACCATGTCAATTAAACTCTTCCATTAGCAGGCAAAAGTGTTACAATGAGAAATGTGTACTCAAAAAAGTAGGGACACACCTTTTAACATCCAATGAAATCCATCAACTCAGCCAATCCCATTGGAAGGAAAGAATGGAAGGATGATTACCATTTTCTTAAATAAATAAATAAATAAATAAATAAATGAAGGATCGCCTAGCTCAGCGGTTCTCAAACTTTTTGGGCTCTGGAGCCCTTTACATGTGTAAAAATTTATGTGGAGCCCCTGCGGTCCACTGATTGTATGTGTTGTGCCTTTCGATGTTTCCAGTTTGTCAACCTTGCAGAGCCCCTGGAGATGTCTTGAGAAACACTGGCCTAGCTGTGTTTCATAAACAATGTTAGTTTCATAAACAATATAATCAATTCTAATACAACAAAATAACTTTCATTTCTGATTTGTATTTTGTTTTGGATTTTAAACTGTCATAGTTCAATATTCACAATATAACTGATATTAAAGAAATCACTGAGCTAACAGTGCATTTGAGAGGTCGCTTAGGAAAAATTGTAAAAGCAAAGATAATTTCAGAATTTAAACATGAACATCTGGCAAATACTTAATCTGCAGATTATTTAACATATTGATGAAAATCTATTTATGCACATTCAGGTCCCTACAAGAACCCACTCTCTGATACATAACCAGACTTCTTCAGATTCTTTGCCACATACTAGTTCTCTGTAGACTGAGAGCTCAATCCTGTGAACACTTATGCACATTAACTTTACTCACATGCGTAAGTATCTGCAGGATCATCAAACCTTTAACTGACATTACTCACTTTATAGTTGCTGATACAGATCCATACCTTCACAAAGTTCCCAGACCCTGATTCTGCAAATACAGCTGTGAATAGCATACACATGTGAGTAATTCTGATGTGTCTAGAATTCAGTGAGATCAATGGCATGTGCCAATACGTAAGTTTTTGCAGGACTGAAGATCCCCTTACACCTGAACACTGCAATCTGACCAAATCAGTAGGGCTCCAGGCAAGTGTAGAGGTCTGCCTATGCAGGCCAAGTTACAGAATTTGGGGCCTTAGTCACTGCTGCTATATTAATCAGCTTGTAATAAACTGCTGAATTTTGGTTTAGGTTAATAGTTTTTCAAAGTAGCCTATGGACTGTTTTTAGGTAAATTAACTGCAGAGCAGGAAAAGGTTTGAACTCCCAACATCAGGTGTCATAAGAGTTAGGAGCAGCAAAAAAACCAACAACAAATGGTCTGATAGTCTATAAAGTGCTAGCAAAACATGTAGATGGTATCATGAGCTTTTGTGAACACAGCCCATCTCTTCAGATGACCCAAGTTCTGAAGAAGGCATCATGAAAGCTCATGATACCATCTACATTTTTTGTTAGTCTATAAAGTGCTACCAGACCATTTGTTGTTTTTTCTGTACAGACTAACTCAGCTACCCCTGAAGCAAAAAAAATAAAGATTTCCTTTGCAACTGTTGGAAACCTGACTATAGGCTGTGGTATTGTAGCTAAGCTGGTTCCAAGATGGAGACAGATGATTGATAGAGTATCTTTTGCTGAACCACCTTCTGATGGAGAGAGAAAAGTTTTCTAGGGTCAGAGGTTTCCATCATGTCTGACCTGAAAAGTTGGTTCAATAAAAGTTTTTACCTCACTCACTTTGTCCGAGGAGCCTGTGATTTCACAACTTGGCCCATTGGTTTCAAACTTTCCAAGGGCCTGGTGTCTAATCTACACACAAATTTTCATCATGATTTAATTCTACCGCAGTACAATCCCTCTACCTCTATAAAGTGGCTTACATCCCTAAGGAAGGGGAATAAAGAGCCACAGGATTTCACCAGACAGCATATAACCATTGCGATAAACAAATCACATTTCCAACAGACACAACAATGCAACACCAGTGTGCAAATCAGGGAACACACATGAACCTTCTGATTAGAGACACTGCATGAGCCTGTTGCGGTTAAAAGGAGTTGAGAGCCTCGTATCGTTTCCCAAAACATCAGGACAACCCTAACCATGGAAGGAAGTTTGGTGTCACCGGCTTCCAGGGAGGGACTTTAGCAGGTGCGTGGATCTCCTCAATTGCACTTGGGCAGCTGTGGGGGAAAGGATTGCACCAGCAGCAGCTGAAGAAATTCCTCCCTGTGCAGCCCCGCCACCCCTTCCTCCCAACTCCAGGGGAGCAGAGCACGCCGGCCAAGAGGTGTCTGCTCCTCCTCCCGCGGCCGCATGGCAGCCGCAGGCAGGGTCTGCGCGCCTCTCGGAGGGCTGGAGAAAAGAGCAGCACGTGGCTAGCTCTGTCTGATGAAACATCTGATGTGCATTACCGCAGCGGAAAGGGGGGATAACCCAGCGCCCCTCTCCCCGATCACCTGCTGGAGGCTTCCTCCTCCAGCCACCCAGCCAAGACCAAGCGAGCTTCCGGCGTTGCCGCAGGGGGTTGCGCAAGAGGGACGCTGGAAAGGCCGCGCCTCTTTCTCTCTCTAGGGCCGCTCTCGCGCTCCTTGGGCACCCCAGTTTCGCAAGGCGTTCGGGGGGCGCAAGGAGCGCAGTGCCGGATCGGGCCCTGGTTACAGGCGCAATGCATAAGAAGCCAGCCGAGTGCATGTACCGCTACTGAGCATGCCCCGGGGATGAATTTGAATGTGGCCCAATAACTCTCTGTGGGACTCTTCAGCGATGCAAAATCAAATACCCACGGGGGGTGCCTCTTACAAAACTTATTTCACAGCTGCCTAGTCTGCGATCCGAATGTTTTGAGTCCGCTCTTGCAGCTGAAGTGTCTGGTCAGCCCCGCACTAAAGCAGCCCTGGAGGTGCCAGGAGTTTGGCGGTGCTAGCGAGAGCAGGAGGGCGGGGGGCAGTGTGGCTCCCAGTGATGCTTCAAGAAAGCCAGCCACGACACACGAAGTGCGAACGCGAAGATAAGCGAGTTGGAGGGCAGATTTGGAAATGTGAGTTTGCCGCAGATTAAAGCTGCAATCTTGTGCGCAGCCCAGAAGCTGGACTGGTGATTAGCTCCCTTCAGTGACTGCGGGGAGGGAGGATCGCTGGAGCTTCCGCCTTCTTCTCACACACGGGAAGATTACAAAACCCAGGTTTTTTGCACTCCACTCTGAGCGCGCATCAACGTGCACAATTCCCAGGGTAGGAGCCATCCTGAGCGACGCTCGCTGCCCGTCTCGGGAGCTAAGCCGAGTAGCGAGGCGAGCTTTAAGGCAGAAGCGGGGGAGGGGAGAGTTCGAGTATATCCCAGCGGCTCACGTGGAACCCTTCCTCCCTCTTCCTGGCTGGCTCCCTCCATAGCCTAATAATCGTTACAAAGTATAAATTCTCCTCCGGTTCCCTGGGCAAGCAACGTGCTTAGACGTTCAAAGCATTCATGACTACAAAAGGAAAGAACAGATGGGGTGTACTGGACCTCAGAGCCCCCCCCCCCTTCCCAATGTCCCGCTGCTGCTTCAGCGACTGAGACTGTCCTCCAGCGAAGGAACATTTTAACTGAGGTGCCATGTATCGTGTGTGTAAATGCTGCTGGTTGCTCGTGATCATTGTAGTTTAGTTTGCAACCTGCTGATGCAAGTTTCCTCAACGTTTTGTTCTCCGGCGTGTAGTAGTTTAGAACAAGCACCGCCCACTACGCGTGGAGTCACAGGGGGACAGGACTCCTATTGGTCGGGCTGGTGGACAACACCTGCTCGACTCCTTCATTCAAGTGACACCAGAGCTTCCAGGGATATTTGAGGCACCATCCTTTCCCTTTCTGGCCACTTTCAGCACTTGCACCAGCCCTGATCACATGCTATCCAGCAAGCAGATTGCAAGAAGAGCAGTAAGTTCCATTTATTCACCCTTTGGAAAGAGCCAGAGGAGGGAAACCCAGACAGGTTTCCAGCGTGGAGTTGCAACCAGGACCATGTGTGCAGAGCTGTTAAGTAAAGTAGTTACCCTGGCGTTGGTCTTTGCAAGTTTTGATCCAGTTTTGGGCACAGAAGCCACCAACCCGCCGGAAGGTCCCCAGGACCGAGCCCCTCAGCAAAAAGGGCGTCTGTCTTTGCAAAATACAGGTATGTGATCTAAAAAGAGAAGGGGGGGGGTGCTTGAAAAGGCAGGTCTAGTTAAACTCAAATGCAAACAAACTGTTAAATATTGTTCAATAAGGAAGCAGTTGCAGTGAGAGGGAGGTGTCTCCGCGTTGTATTTACAGAGTATTGGCTAACTAGACGTGCATCATGACGTGCACCATGGCATTTATTTGTGTGTGCGTGACCGTCAAACATCAATCCGGAGGAAGTAAGAGTTCACTCCTAATTACCTTTGAAGTCCCTTCTCGCCACACACGTGCTACCCTTGGACTCGCAGAGAGCAGTCGCTTGCTCTCGCTGCCTTTAATCTCCGCTAACCAACGATGAAATCCTGCCCAGATATCAGTCTAACGACACCTGGAAAGTTATTCCACGTGACCATCGGTGGTGAAGAGACGATTTTTATTAAGACTATAATGACTTGTGGCACCGACCCAGGAAAGTGCCATGGCCGTCTCTGCACGTTGCAAATCAGCCCGCTGCAATCCTTTAATTGTAACTAATCCGGCCCTCCTGGAGGCAAACCAGAAACTCCAGCAGGTCAGAGGCGGGCGATTTGGACTCTCGAAGGTGCTGCTGGAGCAGGGGGTTAGATGTAGTGGGGCGAGACGGTCTCTCTTTGCTAAATACACATTTAACACGGGGGAGGGGGCTGCGGCCTGCTTCTCCTGAGCAGAGAACCGAATAATGATGCAATTGGCCGTGGGGTTTCTCTTCTCGTCTCTCCTCGTGTATTCTCTGCTTAGTAGAAAGAACCGAGGCGTGCACTTCCCTGGATCTCTTCCCAGGCATGGAAAGAGCGCGCGGGAGCGGTCCACTTTTCTCTTTCTCGCGTACTTTTTCTTTTTTTAACTGTCTCAATGCTGCGAGCCTTGTTTAAACACGCACACGAGCCGGAATGCACGAATGCCCATTAGGGGCTGCCACATGTGAATCACGGCACTGTGCAATTCTCTGCAAACGGGGAGCCAGGACATGTGATCCGAAAACCGTCTGTATCCAAATGCCAACAGAAGCGCTACAGCTGGGCTTCCAGACCCAAAAAAACCCCCAAGATGCAGTTATACAACCTTTGACAAATAGACCCGTTTTCGTGTTGTGTGCCTCTCTGTGTGCAGCTTTCCACGTGGGACTAACACAATGCCAGGTCTCCCTGATTCACTGATTCCCAGCTTCTCTGAGGCTTTGCAGTTACAAATCCCATGTGACTTTTCCTGCCCTCCCCCCTCTTTTCTGTAGCCCTCCACATCAGAGAGGAGCCTGTGGTCAAGTAAAAAGAAAGACTAAGACTTTGTGTCCTTTTTTGCACGTATGATTTTTCATTTTATGATATAGCAAGTATCAGCACTTTACATCCGTTTTTTTCCCCCTGCCTCTGTCCTAAGTGAATTAAAACGAAAGTTTCTGAAAGGGGTTTCAGAGGGCTGCATGTCCAGAGAAAAGGCTGTGGATGTCTTAAACATGTTGTGATTTAGAGAGGGATTAGGCTAGATCCCCAAAGTGAGCTTTAATTAAAGAAGGGGGTAGTCTAGTTAGTCTGTTACTAACCAAATGGTCTGGTGGCACTTTATAGACTAACAAAATGTAGATGGTAGCCTGATCTTTCGTGGGCACAATCCACTTCTTTAGATGACCGGAATTATGAGTTTAGGATGCGTACACTCAAAATAAATAGGGGAGGGGGGAGGCTTAATTAAAGTTGCCACTAGTAAACTGAATACAACAAATTCTTAGAATCCTGCTCTAAAACCTGCCCCAGTTTGACTTTCTCTTTATGGTTCTCAGCAATTATTTTAGTTTTGGCAATATTTTTTAAGGAAGGGTAAGGAGCAGCAGTGATAAGATTCTGATTTGAAGGTATCTGTGCAGTGTCTGAAGTAAAATATTATTTGCTTCAATATAGCACAAAATTTAGAAGGAAAAAATGTATGGCTGAAATAATCTGAATTTTTGGATGAGTAAGGAAGCTGGTGGGAGGAGAGCTCATGCAGCAAGGGGCTCTGCCCCCCATTGAAATTTTGAGGGGGTTTAACCATTGATTTCAAAGGTCACGTCTATACTTCAGGGCAAAAGTTGAATTAAGCTACAGAACTTCTATGTCAATTGCGTAGCTGAAGACGAAATAGCTTAACTTGACTTTTGTCTGTCTACACAGTAGGAAGTCAAAGGAAGAACACTCTTCCTTTAACTTCCCGTACTCCTCGGGTGCGTCTAGACTGGCAAGATTTTGCACAAAAGCGGCCACTTTTTCGCAAAATCTTGCCGCCCGT